TCCAGCCCCTGATCCCCCTACCCCCCCCCCACACCACACTAAATCATATCAGGTCGCACCACGTCTAGTAGTCCCCTGGACGAGTCTGGCGCTGCCCTCCGTGAGGTGACCCTGACCCGCAGCAACCCTGCTGGCTGTACCCCGCTGCCACTCCCGTGGCGTGTCCGGCGGCACGCCTCCTTGTGTATTTCCCCTGCACCTCACCTCTTTTCCCCCCCGACTCAGGTTCACGGCCATTGTGTACCCCATCATTGTGGCGCTGCTGCTGTGGGGGCCCCAGGTACGAGGGGGGAGTACGGGTGTGTGTGTGTATGTGGGTGGGGAAGAGGTGCGGGTGTGGGGCGATGGTTTGGGACGTGCCCCCGCCGGGGCCACTCGTTCCCCCTTCACCACTCGACCAACCCATCAGCTCCCCCCCGGCCCCGCGGGGCCTCCTGATCGCCATGTGGTGGCCGCGCGCCCTCATCCACCCCCCCCTGCCCCCCCCCCTGCCCCCTCCCTCCCCTTTCCCCTCCCCACCACAAGGACCGACTCCACAACCCTGCTCTGGCTGTGTTTTGGGACTATTGGTGGCCGCTGGTGTTCATGTCGTTCCCGTTGCTGGGCCGGGTGTGGTGCGCGGTGTGCCCCTTCATGATCTTCGGGGAGCTGGCGCAGAGGTGGAGGACCGAGAGCAGCCCGGGGAGAGGGGGAGCGGCCAAACTGCTCAAGTGGCCGCGGGACGCGGGTGGGTTGTCACATCACATATATGCACAAGGCGAAAGGACTTACTGTCAAGTGACGGCCCCCAAGTGCTGAAGCTACTGTAGGAGCCTCAAGTGGTGTGTAGCCCACTGGCAGAGGGGAGCACCGGAATCACAAAAGTCCGTTACCTTACCGACATGTGTGATGTGAGTTGTTCTCGTTGTTGTTGGGTACCCCCCGGGTAAGGTAGGGGGGCTTGGTGAAGGTAAGGGTCCGCCGGTTGACGTGGGGCCTTTGCACTTTCTGACGTTGGTGTGGACGTGAGGCTTTGGCAACACCCTTACCCTCACCCTCACCCTCACCCTCACGCTCCTCAGCCGAGCGCTACGGGCCCCCCTTTCTGTTCTCCCTCTTCGCCGCCATCCTGGTGTGGGAGGAGGTGTGGGACCTGCCGCACACCGCCGCGCTGTCCGGCTGGCTGCTGCTGCTAATCACGGCGGGCGCGGTGGTGTGCTCGCTGGTGTTCGAGAGGCGGCTGTGGTGCCGCTACCTGTGCCCCATAGGCGGCATGAACGGGCTGATGGCCAAGTTGTCGGTGACGGAGGTTCGAGCTCGGCAGGGCGTGTGCTCGGGTGAGTGGCAGGGTGCTGGTGGCTGGGTGTTGTTGAGAGGCTTTTATTATTTGTTATGAAGGAGCGTGCGGCTACCTTCTCAAAAGCAAGGAGCAATAGCGGCAGCACAGCACAGCACCGTAGGGGTTGAGGGGCTGAGCGGGTGAGGGGGCAGTGGGTCCCCCGGGGGTGGGATGGGGGGGTTGCTGCTGTGGGTTGGGGCCCGACATCGTCGTCTTGTGGACGTGTGGGGTGTAGCGATATGTGTGGAGCGCGGGTGTCTGGGGAGGTATGGGGATTTAAGCGGGATTAGGGCGCTATGCGGCTGTAGCCAAGGCGGTGGTGGACTGGTAGCTATGATATACATGGGGGGGATGTGTTGTGTGCCGCGGCCGTTGTGGATCCTCTCCTCCCCCCCCCCACACACACACGCCCCTACCGATTCGGTGCTCCCAGGCGAGTGCAACACGTACCACTGCTACAAGGGCGGCTGCTCCACTCTCCCTGACGGCTTGGAGAGCCCTGGCTGCCCCCTGTACAGCCACCCGGCACAGCTAACCGACAACCGCAACTGCGTCAACTGCATGGAGTGCCTCAAGGTGGGGACTGCGGGGTCTGCACCTTCCTGAGGGGCCCAGCGCGAGGGAGGGAGGGAGGGAAGGGGGGGGGGGAGGGAGGGGGAGTATGTCAACATCGGTTCACCCCCGAAGGGTGTTTCCAAAATGGGACTGCAGCCACAGCCATTCGTCGGCAAACCCTACAAGAAACCGCGTACGGCTAACAGAAATAAGTCAACTGTCAACCACTTGTCAGGTCAAGTGGTCGATAGTGGTCGGCATTCGTACATCTGTTCCTGGAATGAGTGTGTAATGATGAGTCGATAATCCACCCCGCCGTGGGGCCAGTGGCCCTAGGGTCACTTTTCCTCTCTCACACCTGCGGGCAGCAGATGCCTGCGACTGCTTGATGGCCCCCGCTCCCCCGTTCCCTCAGGCCTGCCCCCATGGCTCTGTGGAGTTCCGGTTGCGGCTGCCCGGCAGCGACCTGTGGAGCGGTCACTCGGCCTCAACGAGCGAGGTGGCCCTCATGTTCATGTTGCTTGGATCGGGTGGGAGTGAAGGGGGGGAGGAGGGGAGGAGGGGAGGAGGGGGAAAATACCTGTGTATCCGTGTGCAGATGCGGGCAGAGAGATGGGGAGGGTTGCGGAGCTATGTACGAAACAAAGGGCTGCAAACCTTCCTGGCTCCTTCCTCGGCCTCGGCAAGATTGCTCTTTGGTTCGCTCCGGTGGTACTGCACGGTGCGGTACCGGGTACTGCTCTCCTGCCTGCAGCATGACACCACCACCACCACCACCACCACCACCACCACCACCACCACCACCCACATCGTCGTCCCCACGCCATCACCGCAGTCTTTTTGCACCACCTCGACGGACTGGCAGCGCAGCTGGGAATAGATCCTGCGGCAGCAGGTCTGACGGCCGTAACACCGCAGCACATCGGCGCATCCATTGTCGTACTGGCGGCACCAGGTCTGACGGCCTGGGGCGCCGACACCGCCGCCAGGCGCAACCCCGGCGGTGGCGCCGCCGCCGTCACGTTCCTCTCCAACTTAGCGGCGCAGGTTACAAACCACGGACGTACGGCTAATGCCGCCAGCAAGAGCAACAGCGGCGGTGAGGCGCCGGCATCGCCGATGGCCGCCGCGGTGGCGGCCGGTGTTGATGTTGGCAAACCCGTCGCCATCACTGCAGGGCCGGTGGCACCGACGCTGCCACAACCTGCACAGTTCCTTGCCCTGTCGTACGGCTACCTGCCGCTGCTGTGGTCCGCCACTTTGAGCCACTACCTCCATCCCCTGCTGGCGGAGGGTGGGAGACTCCTCCCGGTGGGGTGGGGTACTTGGGGTGGGGGTGGGGGTGGGGGCGGACTGGTCCCGGGCGTAGAGCCGTCCGGGGGGAAGGCGCTCCGGGAGGAACGGACGGGAAAGAGAAGGGTACGGGGGCCGTGAGCAGGAGCCGACTGGGGGCTGCCTAGCGAGTGCGAGCGGTGCTAAGGGGGGAGGGGGTTAGACGAACCACGGCGCGAGTGAAGCAGATACCAGAAATAGATAGACGGATAGTCCAGGAGAAGACAAATGCTGCATTTCAGGAATATTTATCGACCAGTGATGACTTGATTGGTAATCTTGGCGGTGATGTGGCCATAGCTGGGTTGCGAAACGAGTTACTAGCTGCTGGTGCGTCCAAAGTCCAAAGAATGCAGGCGAAAAAGTTGGTCAGCGGCGGCGGCAGATAAACAAGGAATGCACCTGGCGAAGTGCCGCTGAAGGGAACCAGCAGGTGTGGGGGGGTAAGTAGGCGTTAGACCGGGTCACCTGGAATAAACCGCGTGTGTATCTGTGTGTCTAACCCCGGGCTCTCCTCCCCGGCCCCTGCAGATCAGCGCCGCCATGTTCGGATGGGAGGATGCCCCGCTTCCTGTGGCGGTGGCGGACCCGGCGGTCATATCCTTCCTGCAGGTGAGGGCGGGTGAGGGCGGGGACCCATACATGTATATGCCTCTTTCACGTATCTCTGTATGTATGGCCATGGTCGCAGGGCACTCTGCTGCTCTTTGGTGCAGCTACCAGCGCCATCCTGAGTCGCAAGCTGGCAGCTGCACCCTGGGCCTCCTTCGCCCCTCAGCTGGCCCTCATCACCGCCTTCACTGCCGAGCTGTGGGTGCTCATCCTGTAGTCCTTGAGGCTAGACTTAGTTTGTGGCACCACTCAACCACCCACGGGATACGGAACTACTGCCGACTGTCATATGCTGCTGTGTGGTACAGTGGCAGAATAATCGGCTCTTCATCCCGACTTGGGACTGCTGCCAAGGAGAATGCTGACAGACAACTGATAGACAGGCAGGCTGACTGACATATGGACATATAGACATGTTTGATGTGTTAGGTCAGTGTTGATGTGGGCTTCACTCCTGCCAGCAGTGAGCCGGGCTGTTGTCTGCAGCAGGTGGGTAGGTAGGTAGGTAGGTAGGTAGGTAGGAAGGTAGGGAGGTTGGTGAACTCAGAGACAGGAGGCAGACATCTGGAATTCTTTCGGTCTGTGGGAGGAGGTAGTGGGCAGTGGGTGAGTGATGGGTAGGTAGGCAGGTGGGGAGCAAAGTGGAATGGAGTGTTGTGTGGAATACTGGGTGAGGACAGTGCAGCCCGGACCAGTAATGGCTGGTCCCGAGGAGCAGGTGTGTGTGTCACGGTGGTACTGACCGTTGCTTCGGTCACTCGGCACGGATTCGTTGAAATGGTGTTCGTTGTGCACCTACAAGCAAGCGTGACAGCACCACCACATGCCCCTCCTGGGGGCCGCGGGGGTGTACACCAGCGGCTGGTGCACCGGAGCTCTCTGCTCATGGATAGGAGGCCGTGAGGCGAGTGTTGTACGAGTGTCGTACTGGTAGGTAGAAAACGTGTTCTTGAAGCCATGTACAGTCATGTACAGCGGCACCAGCTGTGGTGACACCAGTGCTGAAATACCCGGACAGACAGGGTGGTCTTCACCTGGAGAAAACATGGAGCAAAGTGGCAGCATCTGCCCTGCATTCATTTATCTTTATGCTTTATAGCTTTTAAACAATGTTGTGCTGGTATGTGCTATCTGTATTTTTTGTGCCTTGAAAAGTATTTGTATTTTTCATATTAAGATGATGGGTGTACGGCAGGTCCTGAAGGTTCCTGCGGTTGATCGGGAAGAGGACCGCTAAGGCGTGTGATGGTTGCACCCGCCGGCCCATAGGGCCCCCGGTGTGCATGTACTCGGTTGCGGCTCCCTGCGTACGACCAGGAAAGCCCCTCGTCGGGGTACAGCGGCCACGTCATCATCCGTTGTCCAGTTCCATGCTGCGTAGTTTGCTACAAAGAATGGAATCACTTCATCGTCGCTTGTGAGTACACGATTTTTAAAAACTGCTTCCCTAACTGTGACTGTTCCATTGGGCGGACATGTCGCCATGAACGCAGATGCCGATGGGTTGACATTCTCTTCTCCCGCCATGAATGTAGTTTGGTTTTTTGGCTTGCAGGAGGTCTGAGCGGGATTGTGAGTCGGCCGAGTTGTATGGATGAGATATATTGCATGAGGTAAAGCTTAAAGGGAGGGGGTCCCTAAGCCGCCCTTTGGCTACGGAGCCTGTGCGTTGACGCGCTGCCGGTACCATGGACTGGTTTCAGCAAGTTGTGAGGAAGAGCTCTTGCCAATTTCCACGCTTGGGTGCGCAGCAGGTACTTCGCGCAACGGCGCAACCATGGGTTGGGGCGTTCTCAAGGAAGAGGCCACAAGTAATGCAACAACTATTACTTGTTCCAAGCAGCCCTGGAACAAATCTGCACCTGCAACAAATAGTTGCATTACAGGGCTGCTTGCGAAGGTACCGACCCAAGGGGCGGAACTGCTCGTCTCGGTTTGGGAACCGTACAACGTAGTGTAACTGGACTTGAGGTCAATCAACTGTAAATTTGTTTTGCACTGTTTTTCTAAAATAACGAAGGTTAGGAATCCGCTGTTGAGAAAAAGCATACGCAGTACTGTACGCACAATACGTTGTTGTATCATAACCCCTACCACAAACAGATATGATATTAGGGCGGCATAGCACCATCAACGTTGAGCTGGAAGGAGCTCATGGTTTTATTTGAGTGCTTGGAAAGCCATTCACCAAGCGTTTCTACGTGCCAACTCGCTTTCCTTTGCCTTTTGTAAAGAGGCGTGCCTTATTACTTACCTTAGATGCGAATTTTCTGGTTGGCCTTTGCGTAACAAGGAGCGAAATCTAATCGTCACAGCAGGGGCGGGGCGGGGCTTGTCCTCCGCAGCCACCGCCCCGCTTGTAAGGCTCTTAGGGTTGCTCCAGTGAACATGGCCTCTCTAGAAGAGCTCCTCTCCAACATCAACTCAGGCGCAGTGGATGTCACAGTCTCCGATGCCGTCAAACGCCAGCCCCGCAAGCCTAAAGCGCCGACCGACTTTTCGAAGCGGCTGCGCGGCCAGGCTGGTGCGGTCAATAACGCGCAAGCTCCCAAGACCGCAGCTGAAAAGCGTGGCGCGTCCGCCCGCGCAACACCACCGCCGGCCACCTCAACCGCGGCCTCTCCCCCACCTCCGAGCCGCGTAACCCCACCTCCCCCAGCGGCGACTCCGGCAGCGGTAGCTACCGCCGCCGCCGGAGGCGGCATCGCCGCCGCAGGCGGCGGCGGCCCACCGCCCCTCGCCCCCGACGCCCCGCTCACTATGCGGCTCAAGCGTGTATTGGACCTGCTTCGCCTCAACCGCGACGCACACACCTTCGCCGACATTCGCACCAAACTCCATGTCGACCTCTCCGTCGATTCAGAGCTGCTCGACCAGCTCTCGTCCCACAGCCACGTCACGTACGACACCATACACCACACGCTGCGGTACCGGCCAAAGGTACCCGGCATCAACAACGCCACAGATCTCCTCCACTACCTACGGCGCCACACCACCGTGGAGGGCGCCTCCAGTGCCGTACCCATGACGGGGGTGCGTGTAGCCGACATTGCGGATGCCTACCTGGCTATCATGGATGACATCAAGCGCCTGCAGGCGGAGGGCTCCGTGTACGTTTTCGGCAACACGACCGCCAGCGGTGATGTCGTTTACGCGGTGCAAAATATGAACATCGGTGGGTGGGGCGGCGGCGGCGGCGGCGGGGTGACTCGCTCGGTCCGTCTGTCGGGCGGTGGGATGGGTTACATTTGCCTGGCTGGCTTGGGGTGGGGCATGTTGCTACGTTGGTACGGGACGCGCTGCGAGGGCTGGATGGTGGCTCACGGGTGGGGGGGAAGGCTGGTGTAACTGCGGGGTCCTATTATCCCGCCGGGGGCCGCGCACTCGTCACCCGAGCGCTCCTGGTCCCCTTTTCTTCATACTCTCCCCAATCTCCCACCGACCAAGTCGTGCGGTGCCACTTGTCTGTCTTCTGTCTCTTCGGCCATGTACCGCCAACGTAGCTGCAAAGTCCCGTAAAGCTCCGAAACCCGCGCACTTGGCCCGCTTCGGCGGGCTGCTGCTCTATCCCCACGCATGCACAACAACGGCCCATGGCCCTGCTGCGCCATTCAGCTGAGTGGAGGGATCCATGGCCCCTGCTACCCTGTCCGAAACAACGCACCTCGCGGCTCCTCTTCCTCTGCATACGCGCACACACGCGCCGACACGCCACACACACACCCAAACATTCAAATAATCGGAGCAGGTTTTAGGCATTCTACAATACCTGCAAAAGCTAGCATAACGCCATCAGCAATTAGGAATGCAGATGAATGTAAGTGATCTGCTTTTCACACACACACACAAACACACACATACACACAAACACACACATACACACACATACACACACATACACACACATACACACACACACGCAACAGCACGCTGTCCCACGGAACGTGGGCCCCCCGATAGGTCCCGTGAGTGAGTCCGTCGTGGAGATGTTCCACAACACCCGGCTGCCAGTGGACATTGTGGAGCTGCAGTGGCGCGCGAGGGACCTGGGCCTCAAGTCAGCGCTGGCGACCAGGCCGGTGCGCAACAAGGGCGATGGCGCCACTGCGGCGGACAAGAAGAAGAAGAAGCGGCGCAAGGTGGAGCGCAAATTCAACGTCGACAAGGCCACCAATGCGCATATGCGGGAGCTGTTCGAGGGGGCACAGCCCACAAATATCGATACCCGGTAGCGCTGTCAGAAGCCCCTAATCGGGGGTTGGTTGTGATGGCGGTGGATACGATATGCGAGAGGGTGTGATGATGATACGGGAGGAGAGGAGGTGCGGTATATGGATCTGTAGATGTTTGTGTGTGTGTGGGGGGGGGAGAAGGTGTTATCGGGACGACATGGCTTGGGAAGAGACGCAGATTTCAGTTATGGTGGTACAAGGAAGCTTGCCTACAATGAATGGTGGTGTTTCCGTGGCCATAAATGCTTTTGTTGGGATCATGTTGTCCCGACCTGGACATGTAGACGAATCTGAAGGGGGGAGGGCAAGGCGGGGCAGGGCCGGGAAACCTCGCACGGTGCACTGCCCATGCAAGCAACCAGTCTTGCTTAGACTGTCCGGTATCCGCATCAACTCACGACGCTTATTGTAAAAATGGAAAGCTTGTGTGTTGTGCAAGCTAATTCCTTCCAGGCGGCGCTGTAGTGCAGCTATTTGGTCAAGGGTCCCACGCATCCATCTCTTTCACTGCACCACCCGCTGCTCCCGCTCGCGCTGCACAGCAACTGAGTCGTCGTAGCCGCCATCCAACTACTTTCCTACTGCCCACTGCCCTGGCAAGTCTTCGTGAGCCCTAGGCTGTCCGTGGGTTGGTGGTCCTGGTGGGGGGTAGATTATCGGGTTGTTTCCGTAGTTGGCCAACTACCCTTTTTAGTTGGCCAACCACCTTCCTGGTGGGCCCCTTGTGTGGTCTCCCCTTAGCGGAAGGGGTGCGGCACAGGGAAGTGAGCTGGGTGCTGTCCGGGCCGTGGTGGGGGGCTCGAGGCCTTACGGGGTTCCTCTTGGGGCACCCGAGACTGTGCTGAGAAGGACTGGAACCACTGGATCGAAAGAACTTGACAGATGGTCCCACTCAGAACAGTATCTGCCTGCCTGCCTGCCTGCAAGTCAAGTCAAGATCCTAGGCATCCCAGGTCCTCTAGTCTCTCTAGACGCGACGTACCACTGCATTGCACTGCTGTGTTAATTGACCCGTTATGCGGCGGCCCCAGACTGGTCTCCCCACAATTGTGCATTGTCACCTATCGGATGGAATGTACCGTCGTATGTACGGTCCACCGAGCCGAGCCGTCCGGGCCACGTAAATGGGCTTCTATTCCAGCACATTGTCGTGCTTTGCGGGTCAATGCGAATTCTCATGTACAGCTGCAAAGCTGCCTGGCGATCATGATATTAACATCCTTAGCAAACGACTTCGACGCTTCGAGGTGTGTCAAAAAGCTGTCTCAGCTCACTCTCCAGTCAGATTGTAAGGCTGCGGTGCAGCCGCAGGTACTAAGGACAGCTGCCAGAACTGCTCAATTAGTCCGAGTTCACAAGTCTTGGTGCTTGCATCGTCGCTTTCAGTTGACCACTCTGTACTAGGCTGTCCCTTAGGGTCGAGGAAGGCAGGTCAGGCCGCTGGGCCGGTTTGGGATGTGTGCGTGCTAGATAGGTTGCGTGGAGTCGTACACAGTGCTCTTGCCCAGGAATTGGGGTTGTTTGCTCTCCGTTGATTGACTGTTGTTTTGTTGCCTGTTGTGGACACGTGCGCAGATTTATTACATAGTGGGTGCGAAGGCAGCAGGGCTAAGGATTACATTCTTAAGACCGCAATGGCCGCCTTGGGAGTATCAGACCCATGGGTCACACGCGGGATTTAATAGTGAGCCGCAAGTGGGCTTTCCAGTCGTGTCGCGAGTCGGTCTCGGTGCTGTTGAGATGATAATGTGTCTGTACAGTCAGTCCATCAGCCGGTGCACCCAGTGATTCCCACCCGGGCGGCCGCCTTCGCTGTAACCTAAGCAACGCCGGACCTGACGGCTAATCGGCGGCTAGGGGTGGGTGTTGGAGTGTGTGGTTGCAATGGCCTGTTGGCATGATATAAGTCAACCCGCCTTCCGCGGTTCCAAAGTGAGGAAGCAGCTGCCCATTGCAGGTTGGCACGGGCTCCGGGATTGATGTCATTACCTGACTATGTGCGGATGATTAACAACAGGAAAGGTCAAAATTGAAGAGATGAGCGTGTGCCAGGATAAAACATCACTCATATGTGCATACATACGCAAAGGCATATACACACATTTATGTATGGATTCATGTAAGTCTGTATGTGGCCCCGACACGTCCCGGATTCCACCACTGCCACTTGGATGGACGGGACAGGGCGCGGGCTAATCCTGTACAGGAATAGCAGCGATACCGGATATACTCCACTGCATGGTCCTCTACATAATCCACTGCTATGCTGCTCTTATATCTGTCGTTCCGGACTACTAAAAAAAGACTACTACAGGCTACTGCGAAGGCACCAGCAGTAATCAACGACACAAGGATCCCATGACCGACGGTCGAACACATGCATGACCTTGCATGTGCATGTGCATGTGCATGTGTTACTCTTCCGTGTCGGATAGGGTGATGGAGTCCCCTCTGCCGCCTGTCCTAAATGCCGTCAACTGTACAACAAGGCTGCTAATCTGCAGCGCCATCTAAATATCCAGGTCCGAACATTCATGAGACTCGATCATGTAGTACACCGCTGTAGGCTCCCAAGCTGCCAAACCCTGCGTCAATCCTAACCTAGGTCCTAACCTGCCTGTTCTGCAAGGGTATACTCAAAATTCTCCTTCCTGTCCTGCATGGCTGGCCAGACAGCTGCCTACACCGCGGACCCTACCCCAACCCATCACCGCATGTTGGGTAGTCGTACAAAGCCGTACAGCCAATAATTAGCCGCCGCCACGGCCGCAATCAATCCAAAGGTCAGGAACTGCTGCCCCGGGGAGTGCAGCCCCAGCGACACCGCCCACAAGAGGCCCCCTAGTGCCGGACCAACGCCGCGAACGAGCGCCGCCAGGGTCTGGCCCACCCCGTTGACCGGCCCCAGCTGCTCGGGGGCTGGGGCGGCGTTCACTGCGATGATGGAGCCCGTGAAGGCGCTGCACTGGGCAAAGGCCTTGACCACCATGGCCAGGTACAGAAACACCTGTAGCCGGGGGCAGCAGAGGAGGAGGGGGCGGAGGGGTCACGTGCGAGGAGAGCGGGGAAAAGCGGCGGGGCGAGCAGGCGCAGGTGGGTGAGCTACACGACATACCTGTGCAAACGCCACACTGGCGGTCCACAGGTCCGCCACCAGGGGTATCATGAGACACGCCACCACACTCGCCAGCAAACCCACACGGGTCAGGCGCAGCGTGCCCACATGACGCTGAAGAGGGGGATAGCCGTACAGGCTGTACGGCATAAGTACGGCGCCGAAGAACATGAGTGGTGGCGCGATCTGCTCTTCACGCAAGCCCAGACCGCCTGGAGCCGCAACAACATCGTTCCAGGAAAGGCAAGACATCCGGGGGTTGGTGGCGGGGCGGGGAGGAGAATGGGAGAGGAGGACCGAGCGAGATGGAGGGGGGGAGGAAGGGAAACTGCGTGGGCATGTGTGTGTGTGTGTAACCTGCGCATTCACCAAACCACACGGCCAGGCGCCCTGCATCATCATCATCATCATCATTTTCATCGCAACAGCACCTTACCCGACGACCTGGGCGCTGATGCGAATATGGGAAACAGCTCATCAATGGCGCAGAATATGAGTGCGGTGGCTCCGTACCCCAGGACGGTTAGGAGAACCTGGAGCAGGGCGATGTGAAGGGGGTTAGCGGGGGAGATGCAGGGAGGGGGAAAACAGCCTAGTACAACCAAGGCTAAACACACGACGCACTCCTGCTCGGTTTCCCCCCTCCCCCCGTGATAGAAAGCATGCACGTGACTGGTTCCGTACGATGGCGGTGGATCCGTACGACAGTATGGGACGCTTAATGGATTGGTAGGACCGGGAGCATCACGTCATCTAGGCGTGAGGTCCGTTGCTGCAGCTAGGCTGTGTTGGGTCGTGCACACACCCCGGAGGTACCAGTGCCACACCCCGTCTGGGCTTATTGGCGCCCTCATAACAGCAACTGTATGGCTCAGTTTCTAACCATAAAAACTACCAACCAATCAACCAACCAATCAACCAACCTGGGGGTAACGGTACCAGGGCAATAGCCGCTTCGGCCCATCCTGCTCCTCCACTGCCACCACCACCACCTGCTGCTGCTGCTGCTGGTGCCCCTTCTGCTGCTCCCCGTTCTCCGGGTAGCCCACAGGGGCGTCATCACCTCCTTCAGGCGGCTCATCGGGCCTTATGGACTGCTTGCTAGGCACTGGCGGGACGAGCCTACCGTTCCCGTCACCACCACCGCCCCCCTCATCCCCAGTCCTCAAGCGCGCTGCAACTCCCTGCAGTAGACTCTCATGATCCTCCGGCAGTGCGGCAAGAGAGCAGCCAACACCACCGTTACCTCGACCACTACCTCCATCTCCGGTTTGGCTTCCTCGCGGCCGCTCGCAGGGCTCCGTACCGCCGCCGCCACCGCTACCTGCGACAGCCCTCCCTGGACAGCTGGCAACCTCCGTCTCTGGGGAAGTGCTCAGAGGGGCGTTCCGTCTGAGGCACATCCCGTCATGTGTCAGTCCTGGCTCCTCCGAAACCTGACACTGCGACTGCAACTGCCTGGAAGCGGAGGTTGGACAGGCGGCAGTGAGCAAGGAATCAGCGGCATCTGCCACTGGAGGTTGGGGCGGTTGGAGCGGTTGCAGTGACTGGGGCGGGGGTTGTGGCACCACGGGATGGCAGTTGACGGCGGTCGGGTCATCCGCCGGTGTCAGGTCGCCGGGGGCGCCACCCGGGCCGCAGGGGCCCCCATGACTCCGTCGAGCCGCCGTGGGGCTGTCCACATGCCTAGCGCCCCTAGCGCCCCTATCGCCTCCGCAGCAGGAACTTCGACGACTGCCACCGCCGCCACCGCGGCTGCAGCCGCCTTGCATCTCGACAGCACCGGCGGAGCCAGCGGCAACAGTAGCAGCAGTAGCATCCTCGGTAGCTCTAGGAGCAGTAGCAGTAAGAGCAGCAGGAGCCGAGGTGGCGGCAGGGCGATAGAGCGGAGACTCCCCCGCGGTTTCGGAGCAACAGGGTTCGGACCGTCTCCCAGAGGACTTCCTTGCAAACGGGTTGATGCCGATGTAGGTGCGGGATGCCAGGCGCAGTACCGCCTGCAGCCGCAACTGGGGTGGTGTACGGCTGACGTCGCTATCGCTATCGGCGTCGGCGTCGGCGTCGGCGACACGGTGACGGTGGTGGCCATGATTGCGATCGAGGTGCTGGTGGTAACGGTAGAGCTGCTGCCGATGGTGGTGAGTTTCACCATTAGTGTCATCATCACCACCACCACCACCACCGCCGCCATCACCGCACGATAATATGTCCGCTGCTGTTGCTGTGGGGCCGGAGACGTGAAGCGAGTTGGCGGGTGGTTGCGGTCCGGGTGGGTGTGTGGGTTCCGCCATTAGGCGGGACTGCCGACCCGGCGGGTCCCGGACTCCGATCCCGACAGAGTCCGAGTCGGAGTTCGAATCGGATGTGGCTGTGATGATGTGGCGGTGCTGCTGACGGTGGTGAGGAGGAGGGTGAGGAGGAGGATGCGTTGGGAAGGGACGAAGGGAGGAGGAGAAGTGGGCGGCGGAGGTGTGAGGGAGGAGGTCATCAGATCGCGGGGCAGTCCGGGGCAGCAGCCCGGCCCGCTCAGCCGCCCGGTCTGCTGTCTCCCTCTCCATCTCCTCCGCCTCCGTTGCCGCTGTCACCGTCCCAATCGCCACCAAGGATGCCGTCTCACAGAACTCGACGTCGCGAACCGCCACCGCCCCTTCCTGCGGCTGCACCCGCTGCCGCCACCACTGCCACCTCCACGCCTTAACACCGCCCCGGAGGCCACCGCTGTCAACAGCAGCACTGCAGCCACCACCGCACTTCAAAAGCAGCTTGCGCCGGGGACCGCGTGTATCCTTGCCCGCTTCGAAACCAGTGTCCGAGCACCTGGAAACCAAATCTGACTCTGATTCATATTCCGAATCCGTATCCGGTTGCGCACCCGGCTGTTGCCGGTGTTTCAGCCATCTTCGGCGCGCACGCTGCCGTCGCCTCTCCCTCCTCTTCCTCATCGCCGCCAGCAGTCCCCTCTCCCTCAGGCTCGGGGACAGGGTCTCCTCCAGGAGGAACACGGAGAGCAGCAGGGCCGCCAGGATGGTGAGACTGCCAACCGTACAGGCCAGGAAGTACGGCCTGGCGGGGCCACAGTCGCAGCGGGCCAGAGCGGGCGGGGCGGGTTACTGTGGTATTGCGGTATGGAGGGCAGTTCAGGCGGGCGGCCGAGGGCCGAGGGTTCAGGGAGTGTGTGGCCCTTAGCCGCACAAACCTTGCCATGCAACCTTCAAGTGTTGCTCTTCCCGTAGAAGGTATTTCGAGGTTGCCGGTACCAACAGCCAGGCCGGGGCTGTGGCTCGGGCTAGGAGAAGGTCATGAGCCCGGCGGGGCCCCCAGCCCTTTCTTCCCGTGGCCTTCACTATCTCCCACTTCCCATCCCAGCCAGCCACTCGGATTGGACTTGGGTCCGCTTGTTGTCCGGGGGGCCTTGTTTGCCTCGTCAAGCCCCACCTGCGCCCTCGCAACCCCAGCTTCACACCCGCCTGCCGGCCCCTCACCTAGCTCGTAGCAGCTGCCCCTCCTCGCACAGCGGCAGGTGGGGCAGTCTGCTGCACGGCCGCGAGAAGGCCCCCCCCAGAGCCGGACCCGCAATGCAGCCCAGGCCCCAGGCCAGACTCATGTAGCCGAAGAACTTCCCCTGAAGCAACACATCCGTGGACTCGCCTGCGGGTTGGGGTCGTACAGCGCGTGGTAGCACGCACACCGTGTGTGGTGGCTGGCGGGTCGTGGGTGAGGGGCAGGTGTCGAATGAGGCTAGGTCAGGTTTTTGGTACCCCGTTTTTCCGATCACAGTCCCAATCCGTGACCCCGATCTCTATGTTTGTTTCGTTGACGAGACCTCTCACCGATCATGCACTTCCAGGACCCCAAGATGCCGTTCAGGAAGCCTCCAAAGGCCCTGGCGGCCAGCGCGGTGCCGTAGCTGCCGGACAGCCCGAACCACAGGATGCTGACGAAGGACACCGCGTTGCCGATGATTATGACTGGCTGAGACGGAGGGGAAGACGGGTGAAGAGGGGGACAGAGACAGAGAGGAAGGTGACATCGCTGTAACACACACATTTCAGGAGAAGCATGTACTTCTGGACCGCCAGCATATGACGCACATGCATGCAGGGGCTTTCTGCCGGGCTTCGGGAGGATCCGACTATGAAGAGGGGGATGCGATGGTAGCGGATGACCAGCAGCTGAAGTTGGCGAACCTGATCCACAATACCATCCAGCTAAGAAGGGTCTCAAACAGCACACACGCACATGCACATGTTCAAAGGGCCTCCTTTATATCAGCTTCTACCAGCCGCTCGCTTTGGGCACAGGAGCGCGAAAAACAGGGCCCCCTCCAAACATGCGGTGCAGGAGTTGAGCCATACCGGAAAGACCCTAAGGATGTGAGGTATGGGGATTGACAACATACGGAAGGTACGACATGTACGATAAAAAAACATATCACCGTCATCCGTACCTTGCGGCCGATATAGTTTGACGCGCAACCCCATGCATAGGCTGTCAGGAAGGATGAGAAGGAGAAAATGCCCGCCTGGTCATTAGGGGGATAGCGGTCATTAGGTGGCAATGGCGATCGGGGCGACGGATGGGCGGATGGGCAATAATTTTAACAACCTCAGAAAAGGCTTGTGAACCCGAAACGGCAACGGCAGAACTGTAACGGCTGAACAAGCCAGGTAAATATAGGTTCCGGGGACATGGATGCAATACCGCAATGCTCTTCAGCTCCCGTCATCCAGTACGAGGGACGGAGGCCCCCTCCTTACGGGGGAAGGAGGCCTCTTTCGGCTTCCTCTGCTTGTTCGCAACAGCGGCCTCTCCTCCCTCGCCCCACTTCCCACATCCTGGCCAGAGGGACAGCACCCAGGGTCGAACCGAGCTGGTTTTTGAGGATGCACCCTCCCCCTTGTTTATGTTTACCCGTGCCGTACCGCTGGCCAGCACCCAGGGCGGTGCAATGCATTAAGACCTGTAGGAGATAACTTTAAATAGAGGAGGGCAGGAGGCCATGTCCCTGGTCCTTGCGTCCGAAGGGAGACGGGGAAGGGGCGTCCTCACCAGCAGGCCAGTCAAGCGGCCCACCACCTGCTCGTCAACCTCCTCCTCGCGCCCACCGTGCCTGGCGGCCCGGAAATCGCGAACCATGAAGACGCCGATCGTGAAGGGAGTCGTAAGCATGACGGCCTGGCTGAAGTTGGCAGAGCTGGGAGCCAGGTGGGGGGGACATGAGGAAGAGAGCAGCGCACAGAGGGAATGAGACGAGCGGGAGGGAGAGTTTAAGGGTTGGAGGGTAGCTCCGGTTTCAGACAGCTGTCATGGGCATCTGGCTGAAGAGAAGGTGGCGCACAGCGTGACGTGATAATAACGCTTGCCCGATTCGAGTTGGGCAACCATTAGAACTCCACCCGTGCCATAAGTAGATGGTGCAAATAAAACCGCAAATCATGACAAGTGATGTCATTTCTATGGGATACGTCCATCATATCGAGGCTAGCGATGCTCATCTGTCAATGCCTTCCGCGAATGGCGTCAAGCATTGTAACCCACCTCAAACTCAATACTTGCTGCCATGGGAGCTTCTCCCTATACATTTTCTCCTGATAAGCTGTTGCCATTTTGGCGCGCACTGAGTTAACACAATATTAACTGCTCACCACACTTTCCGGTTCCTCCCATATAAACCACGTTGAGTTGCTTTACAGCTATTACGTTTGTACATAATTACCAAAGGCAAACCACGCGACATCAGTCAATCCATGACTCATCATAAGAAATTGGTCCCCGCGAAACCAGTCGGAACTGTGCAACGGAAGGACAGTACGGATGGAAGAATAGGTCATGCCAAGTGCGTTATTTATGCTCCAAACACACTAACCGTGTCGCCTACTGATACGATATCCTATACCTCCTAAGACTGCTTGACCGAAGTGTGCGACAATTGGTGGCAGTAGCGGCACCGCAGCTCAAGGCACCATTACAAGCGTTCGCTCGAAGGGCACAGGTTAACTGCAAATTGGAGCTATCTTGGTTAACTGCAAATTGGAGCTATCTTCAGCAGGACAATTCTTGTGGACTTCATTTTGACAACTACAGCTAACGTGCATTTACATGCATTTGTGCCCGCCGCGGTGCTGCAGGTTAGGGGCAATCGGCCCGGTATTTGGTATTGCACAGCTGCGGGTCGCTTACACAAGCTACGGAATGAGCGGTGATAGAAACCGACCGTAGCACAAAAACCACGACTCGTCGCGAACGATAGTCAAAGATAAAATTACCCTCATAACATCGAGTCCATTATCGAGAGCTCATTGGCACAGTCCTCGCCTGCCTGCCTGTCCCTCTGACCCCGCCCTCGCGAGTACCTTGCCGCTGCATCGTACATTCCGTTGGAGCTCACGTGCTTTCCCCCAGCTGCCGCCGCACCTTCTCACCTCATCCCCTCCGTCAAAGACCTCGCAACCCGCGTGTCAAATGCGAAAACATGTTTCAAGTTACAAGTTCCGCGCGAATGCGGGGGCCCCTCCGTTAAAGCCCGCGGGGAGTGGGCCTATGGTCGGACAAACATTTGAGTGCCGCCTGAAGCTGCTTTCTTGTACCCCTCCCTCCCCTTCCCTCCCCCCTCCCTTTCCTCCCTTCCTCACGGCTCCGACGCCTCTAACCACCACCTCCTCTGCCCCCTCCCCCTCTCCCCCCCCAGTTAATATCCACAGCGTGCCTCATCAAAACCCTGCTCATCCCGACATCCGAGCCCCAAACGGGAAAAAGCACACAAGGCACGAGTCCACCAACTCGCTAGGGGCCACCAACCCGCCCTCCCCCGCACGTGATGCAGCCAGCAGCACATCTAATTCCATCAAGCCAACCGGCTCTGCAGGCTCCCAACCGACTCAGCAATGTAAAGCTCCCACCACCCTTCGGGCGGCGTCACGCCGTGCTTTCACACAGGCCTGTTGGGGGTGCGACATCCACAAAGCCAAGACACACAGACACACACGCATACGGCGACATGGCCGCAAAACCCATACCATCGCAAAGCCAGGTCACGCCACGGCATGCCACCCAGGCACTGTCATCCACCGCAGGCCAATGTACCGCCACACTGCTCCTCAACGATACCAGCTGCAGTACAAAGCCACCGCATCCGCACACGGCACGCAGGCTGCAAGGCCAGACACTTCCCCACCCCCCCACCCTCCAACGAGCTGACCCCGTGAAGCCCAGCGTCATCCTGTAGCACCAGCAGCAGCAGCTCCTGCAGCGGCATGGGGACTCAAGAAGAAGGCAGGTAAGGCGAGCACGCACAGAGCCAGCCTGCTGCACCGCCTCCCGCAGGAAGGGAGCACAGCGCTCATGGCCCCGGGCCGGGATTGGGTGGGTGGGTAAGGTGGGCCCCATCCCGAGCCCCCAAGAACTTGAGGGTTTGCATCGTCCACGTCCCGCGGGCATGTATGTATGTATGTATGTATGTATGTATGTATGTATGTATGTATGTATGTATGTATGTATGTATGTATGTATGTATGTATGTATGTATGTATGTATGTATGCATGCATGCGTCTCTGTATGCGATTCGCCAGACCTGCCAGGTCGGCCGCTTCCCCATACATACGAGATGGGAGGTGGGGATGTGCGAATTCTTTCTTACATTGGAGAAGACACACCGCTCATTCCGCAGCTTGCACCCCCTCCCCCCCACCACCCCACCACCACCCCGTTCATCACCACTGCCAATGGGACTCCGCACCAGCGGCAGCAGCACTTAAGAACATATCCGGGTTGGCAACCACCACCACCACCCCCATCACCACCACCACCCCACAAACAACTCATGTATATCCAACAAAACACCACGGCAAGGACATGTCAACGCGGAGTAGCTCCCACCACCTAAACACAGCACCAGGAGTGGCCCGCCGCCCGGGTGCGCAGCTCTAAAGCACAGACAGATACGTCCCGAAGACCCACCAGGCATGGCTCACGTCCCGGCGCCACCATGCCTTCAGACACAACCTTGGCAGGATATCAGCACACGCGCACTCATGGCCAAATTAGGCTACCCGGAAAAATGCGGAGCTCCGAACCCAGGAAGGCGAGCACACTGCAACACGTCCGGCTGTCTGCTGCTCACGCAGGATGTCATTCTCCCCGTCATCGTCAACGCCTCAACCATCGCGACCCCTGCTCCCCTGCCCTGCCCCTGCTGCTGCAAGGAGATGTTTTGCATCCCCCGCCCATATCCTACAAAATGATAGCCAACCTGCGAATATGCGATACTTAAATCAGGTGCAATGATCACTAACCCCTGCCGGGTCCCGGCCCCCCGCCAATGAACCTTCCGGAGAAACCCTTTCCACCACCGAGTGCCGCACGTATGTCCGTACAGCGTAGTGCAGTACATTAAAGAGTACGACATCTCTGCAGTACTACGACCCTATCATCCACTGCAGCTGTTCCTCGAATGAATTAACATTAATGAGAGAGGGGGTTCCGGACTCCTCTTCATGCCCATCCTCCTCTATTCAGCCTCTCGCCATTGCTACTGCTATTGCTGCTGCTGCCGCGCGCGCGCGCGCGTGTGTGTGTGTGTGTGTCTCGACGATTTTGCAGATGTTCAGCTGCTCAATTCTCCTCCCCGACAGTTCCCTCGCTCTGCTCCATGATCACGTCCATACCGCCCTCCAGGCCGTCGCCCAGGCCCCGTACCGGGCTGATGCTTCGCCGCCCGGGCGCCGCCGAGGTGGGCCGAGCCGAGGTGGGGCGTGCGGAAGTGGGGCGACCCGCTCTACTACTTGGTCTCGGAGCCAAGCCCAGGCCCAAACCCAACGGCTGCTCCATCGGTGGCGCTCCGTGCTCATCACCCCAATCCGAGATGCCGCTCGCGTCGTACTGTCCAGATAAGATTTGCCCATGGCTGCCGTACTGCACGGACGAATGGGAGCTGAACCGATCGGAGCCGCGGCTCCCGAAAGTGGAGGTGCCGTGCAGCGCCGTCAACGCGTCGTCGCCTTCTGGCCGACTGAAATGAGGAGGTTGCAGCGGCGGCGGCGGCGGCGGCGGGCCCTCCTCCGGGGCCGCGGCAACGTCTGCCGCCGGGGCCCCCGCGCCCAGATCCAAGCCCACACTCCGCCCCGTGCCGTCGACTTCCTCGATCCGCACGGCGGTGTG